CGTCTGATCTCCAATAATCTAACACTACTTTGCTCCAATGTTGCGTCTTGCTTGAACGTACTAGAACGTCCGCTTTCTGCGCAGTTTCAAGTTCCTGCTAGAGCTTGAACGGGTTACGAAAGCAGGGGGGCTGGTTATAGATTTAAACAGGCTCTGCGTCATCAACACTGAGTTTACCTGGAACGGTGAAGGGACCTGATCATATGAACCGAAGGACGAAGATATCTGAATTCCAAGTCATGTCCGCGTCGACTGAAAAGGTGATCGAGTATGGGCTTTTTACTGGAGTTCAACGTATGGAGCAGATAATCTAGGTCTACATTTGTGGGTGCCGATGTCCTGTGCTAAGACTCTAGAGACCTACACTGTATTCTCGCAGATTGCACCGAAGATTCCAGTTGAAAGACTAACGATGCAAGAGTAACAAAAGGTGGCAGATCGACCAGACGATCAGAAAGCAAGGTTAGGACAGAGTTGTTTCTCAAATGCTCCGACTTGCCTCCCAACATTTCAACGGGACCTTCGGATTGCACGTAAAGACTACCAGCAAAGAGCAGGGAACGGGAATCAAAGTTGGCCACGTACTCCAGTGCAAACCTTCCCCTGGTGTTCACAAACGTCAAGCACGGCTTAGAAGAATCACACAGGCTCCAGATTTCGAGCTTCGGAGAATTTTAAGAGATCGCAAAGAACGGAAAGTCAAGCGTAGTACCTGCCATTGATCTATTCCCATCACCAAACCCGTGCTTGGCGGGTATGAGAAGAGGGTCTGATTGCGGATCGTCAAGGACGTCTGCAAGTGAAGGCAAGAACGTATGACGGATTGCTCGTGAGCAAGAGAACAAGATCAAGCAAGGAGTTAGAAGAGAGAATGGAGAAAAACCTTTTGTTTGTAGACGCTAGTGTAACATTGACCCCTCCAGCTTTGGCTTTGAACAAGCCAGGAAGGCGTGAAAAACACACTTCAGACCGGAAGTCGAAGTAAGATCGTTCTCTAGAAGAGGTACAGTAGGCTCCAGTTATAGTACTGGGACGGGTAGAGTTGCTATGGGGGTTAGAGTGGGTACAGGTGCGGAGCGGGTAGTTCTCTGGGTTTAGGTCTTGAGTGTCAGCTTCGTTCCTACTATGATATGAGCTTACTATGACTATTCTAGAGAAGCATCGAATTGAGTACATTGGGCTTCAATGTACTCAGATTCGAAGAATGATTCAGGTTGTTGTCCTCGACGTTACTTGAAGGAGAATAGGAGCAACATGACAACATGATGACGCGCAAACCCCCGCCGGGTAAACAACATGAAATCCGCAAGCATTACAGGAGTCTCCTTATATAAACGCGACGTACGTCACCGCAAACCCTCTGCTTACTAACCTTGCCGTGCTTCGTAACCAAAAACTTGCCACCTGTACAAACGTGCCATTCGAGGTGAACAGGGTCGCTCTGATGAGGGGAGCTTTGCGCAGAGAACTAGGAGATTCGCTACAAGCATCGAAGGTATGAAAAGACTGCATTTTAAGGTCATACGCCATCATGCTAGCATTCCAGAAGTGGAGTTTGCCGACTGTCCGCCGAAGACCGTACCTTGTCAGTAGTGAAGCGCGACAGACGGCCGCTTTCAAACGTCAGCCGTACTGGCCCCGTTCCAATGTCAAAGTTCGCTTCCGTTCCGTTGCCGTAATCCTTGACGACCACTGACGTGGGGGCACCTGCGAAGAGCCCAAAGCAATCGATTCCGATTCAATAAGTAGGTCTTGACGAGTCAGAGCGAAAATGGTTTCCGGACGTGGACGTGTCCGAAAGGGCCCAAAGTAAATTCGTAGATATCGAGCAATTCACAGATTGTAGAATTCGACAGAACCCCTAGTATCCACGCAAGGTGCTTTTGTCGCTGCACAGACGGATGTAGACGTGTTTCGAGTAAGACTGCAGAACGTCGTCTTGTTTGTTTCAAGTCCGTTGGACTGCTGTTCGTTACAATTGGGCCTATGGTTTGGCATTCTGATGCTCCCCAGGTGAGCAAAGATATTCTTAGGCTGAGCGGTTTCCATTGCTACGCGAGAAGAGCCTCGCGAAGCATTCGCGCGTGAGCGCGCTAGTGCCGACGATGAGATGAAAAGGTCTGACCGCATTCGATGTCATTAAACCGCCCAGCTTTGACCCGTTTCCGGACCAGGCGCCTTACTCCACCTTTAGTACAGGAGCTTTGTGACTTGCATTTTCAGCAATTCATTGTCGCAAGCAAAGACATCTAGACATCCGCGGAAGACAACCGATCTTAGTCTTCCGTGGATGAAAACCTCACCCTTCGAAGAACTTTCCTTTTTTCCAAAAGGCACCTAGAAACATACAAACAAACAAAGCGCTCGGGAGGACACATTTTCACGACTCCTGCTCTTACCACAACCATTATCGGGGAGCTTTACATGAGAAACCTCAGCCGACATCCGGACAGAACAGCTTCCTTAAACCTTTTTCACGAGAGAATGAAGAGCGGTACGAACCAATTGATAGACTCGGTACCCACCAGGGTCCGACGTGGCCAGCGGAGGTCCCACGAAGTACGTCGCAAACCCCAGGGGGGGCGCCGCAGCCCGAAACGTCAGCTCGTACGAACCCCCCGAATCATGAGAGCCCGGCGCTTGTTGCTGACGTAACCGCATGCTGACGTCATCTATGGGCGCGACCTGGGAAGGGACCGCACGCCCGTCGGTGTCGGTGACAGCGAGCCACGTGTCGGCCACAGGGAGCGTGACGAGCTCTTGGCGGGGCCACGCGAGGGGGTTGTAGACGAGAACGACCTGCCGAAACAGTTTTGGGTTAAGCAAACAGAGGAGAGATTTGGCGAACAGCTTCGGGTTAGGCACACGGATGAGGGTTTGGGACATGTTTTGGTTTGCAAGTTTTCGGGTGTCAAGGGGCTGAGAAGTCCTTGATGTCTTCAGATTTTCTTGTCTTTGGAAAGTGATACAAGAGAACAACCTGTCAAAACCGTTTCAGGTGATATATCAGAGTTAAGCAAACGACAATCGGTTCCTCTGACGATGATAAGATTTTCAGATACCTAGGCCTTGGTATTCCAGGAGAAACCTTGATCTCTAGAGATCCCTCTTATCAGACTCCTCCTTGGATCTCAAGATAGCAAGGGTTCAATTTCGTCGGTATTCGAGAAGGAGTCGGACTTTTGGCAGATTGATTGGTCAAAACTAGAGCCGTGCCCATAGAGTGACGGAGTCTGCCATTGCGACCAGGCTTGAAAGTTTCTCGTCGTGGGTGGCCGGTCCAATCAGGGTTTCAGGTTTTAGTGTTTTAGGGATAAAAGATTTCAGAGCTTCAGGGTTTTAGGGATCTTACCAGCGCAGACCAGGCGGGGATGTGACTCGTTGTGGGCGGGCAGTAGCTGATGTTGAGCAGAGGGCACTGTCGAAAGGAAGAGAATTTTAGAGATTTAGCAGTGCATTTCCAGGACAACAAGGTTTGAGATTCATATGTAAGATGGAAGACAAGCAGCACTGATCTACTCTAGAAAGAACGGGGCGGGTTACACGGCCTGTGAAAGGTGTTGTTGCAACAGACCTAGGCAAGGGAGAAATAAAGTATGCGTGTGATCGCTTCCGCATATCCGCAATCGCTCTCGATCATTTGCACCTACCTGAGTAGCTCATCAATCTCAGACCATTCCTTCCTCTGTGTATGTTGCTACTTAGGATTCAGCAGCTAGGACATTTCAAGCCAAGCATGACCAGTACTGTCGCGGACTCACACGAGAACAGGAAGCTTGCTACTGATTAGTTCCACATGCCTGCTTGCAAAGAACTGAACGCAATCACTGAGGAATTCCCATGATGCGTGGAAAAAGTAGACATCGGTCAGCACTGTCGGCCCAAGCACCCGAAGATCACTATCGCCACATGCTACCCGCACTTCTGGCTCCGGCCCTTTTGGGCATCCAGTCCTCTCGTTATCTGCGAGCCGTCTCTCAAAGAAGACGGCCTCCACAAACCGCGAACTCAACCGCTGCTCGCGCAAACTCACCTGCTGTAAGATTGGCCCTTCGAGGGTCGTGTTCGCTTTCGGCGCTGGCTCTGGTTTTGACTCCGCGTCGCCAGGGGTTGATGATGTCAGATCCGCCAGCTTAAGAAGCGCTGACGTCACCACCGACTCAGCCTGCGCAGAAGACAAGTGGGCGTTTGAGGGGCGCGGCAGCTACGTGGTCTCAAGGCGACCGATTTCCAGGACTTGGGAGCTTTTGACGCCGCAATTTTATTTGCTGCTGAAGTTCAACCTTCAAACCAGGGGGACCAAACCCCACTCAGAGAATCGGAACCATGTTCCGCGCCATCCGATGTGAATCTGCTTCGATTGAACGGTCTAGATTGCATTATGGAGTGTCCCGAGCGCTGAGGGGACCCCGGTTGGCCTGCGGATTAAGTCTATCAAGTAGTTAGAGCCATTATGCCTGGTTAACCTTCCTTAATCAGCAAAGTATAACTCCTAAACCCCTTCTTGCCCCAACTCAAAATGCAAGGGTTACAAACAAGACCCTTCGGAGGTTCGAGTCCACCAAATTTTGGGTTGGGGCAATTAGAGGTTTGGCTGCTGGCACATGGTTCAGGATGCAAACCTATTCACCTGGGGTGTGTGGTCCCCCTGCTTCAAACGGAGTATGGAGTTTTCTGAGATGCACTTGCAGGCGCCTGTGGGCGCAGATGATCAGGAAAACAATGTCCCTCGTGCAAGCTTTTCACCGTATTCTAGAAACGATCTCGTCTCTATGGCCAACTGATTGGGTTCCGGAGCGATTTGATTAGGTGTAAACTGAGTTCCTACACGACTGCTGCTAAAGTTTCTACGAATCGGAGATCAGCTCCGAAGTTTGCTAGGTCACCGGCGTTCCTCAACAAACACGCCGCACCTCTTTTGCCACGTACCTTCAAAAGTTGTTTAGGTCACAGCTTTGACCAAGAAGGTAGTCTCAAAGGAGTATTCGTCGAAGGTGCGTAGATAAAACCGGTAGTTCTATTTGACACCTCAAACGCCATCACGCTAGCTTGACACAAAACCAAAGGTGGTTTGAAGGGTTAACGTCTCCGCCCACCTCTACCGCGCCAGCGGCCAACCTCTTGGCGTAATCGTCCGCCACGTGTTGCTTGCTCGTGCCGCTGACGCCATCGTGATGCTGGACAATCGCGAGCGCCTCTTCCAGACTGTCCGTCGTTGGCCCCGTTTTCGATCTACCCGCCAGGAACTCCAGCTGGCGCGCGGCCTGCACATAGCGTATTGTTGTTCATCATAGGCTATTGGTCCGTCGGGGGTCCTGCTCCCAATCAGCCCGCCAGACGTTTCATAGGCGCGCGGCCTATGCATAGCGTATCGTCGACCAGAGGCTATTGGTCAGTTGTGGGCCCTGTTTCCGACCGGCCTGCCGGAAACTCCAGCTGGCGCGCGGCCTGCACATAGATTATCGTCGATCATAGGCTATTGAGCTATTGACTCGTGTACATACAGGTCGTCTGTCCGTCGTGGGCCCTGTTTCCGATCGGCCCGCCAGAAAGTCCAGCTCGCGCGCGTTCTGCACAAACCGTATTGTAGTCGATCATAGGCTTCTGGCAAGTGTACACAAAGATCGGCGTCCTTCGTGGGCTCTATTTCCAATGGGCCCCCAGGAAACTCCAACTGCCGCGCCGCCTGTAGATAGCCTATCGTAGGCGATCAAAGGGCATGGGTCGGATGAAGACAAAGATTGGGCGTCTTCCAAAGAGCTAGGGGGATCTTAGTGTTAGAAGTATTTGCGCACTGCCACTCGGGCCACACTGGCGCCAAACCCATCTATTCAAACCCATTTATTCAAACCCATCTATTCAAACCCATCTATTCAAACCCATTTGGCTCTCTCTGCGAGAAAGAACTGGTCGGCTTGTGGACAAATTAGGAGTACGCTTGGTTTGGTAAGTCCTGGCACGCTGGCGTTTTTGATTCCCACAGCCTTTTGAATACGCAGACCCCTAACGCTTCAAGATCGTACAGTAGAAAAGGGATACGCGCTGCGTGAGACTCTCTCGACGGTTGAGAGCAGCGCGGAAGACCCGGCACTCATCCGATACGACCTGATACGTCATCTTTTAGACATCAGTTTCCCTCAAATGAAACAATACCAACTTTCGAACACCGGATTCGTTAATTCACTCGAAGTTGTATCAAAAATGAACGGCCATGAGATGAAGGAAGCGCAGGCCACAGGTCGCTAAAATCTTCACGCATCCTCCGACTACGGACTATTATGACGATTCAGAGCAAGGATACGGTTTCACGGTTTATTACCTGCAGCCGACCAGATAGAGCACGCACGTAGCCCTTGAGGTTGACGCGGCTCGAAAAGTAACCGGTCCAATAGCAATGGGGGCAGTCTGCGTACCTGAGAAGGGGCAAAGCGAGAAATCAGGTCAGGGAACAGAGAAGGAGCATGAGGTTCTGAAATACTCCTGTCAGGCATGTTAATTCTTTTTGGACCCAAAAGATAGCCAAATTGGAAGCAGTAGGGGCAAATGCATGCCTGGGAGAACCCCCGAAAAAGGCTTTATTCACTGGAAAGAGAAATGCGAAGGAGAGTCTCAAGGTCGTAGCTAGGGTGCCGCCAGAAAGGTTGTTCCGAAACGAAGCACCACCTGCACGCGTTTGGTCATCTCTTCTTTGAACGTGAAAGCACTGCTCACAATGAAAGCAACGCTTTCTGGCCCACTTTCTGTGCACCGACGCCGAGTGTACCCTTTACTTGGAGCCAATCTTTTGCCTCCCCTGTTTGACATAACATGTTCCAAAAACGTTAAGGCAGTGTTATTCGTGATCCTATTGGCCAAAACCCTTACCGGGTTGACCGCTTTGACCGAGATCGAAACTTGAGCGAGTAAACCCCCTACTAATTTCAGCAGAGTCACTGCTTCAACAAACAAGAAGTCGTTAACCTCACAATAAACCCTTCATCGCAAAACTTCGTCCCAAGGGGAGGAAATTCTCGTTCTGGTTCAAGCAAGGACCGATAGAAGATGGATAATCATTCATCTCTGTCACTTTCTCTATGAATATGGTAAAGCGGCGATTGAGCAGACTCACGGAAAGAAGTCGTCGGTCTTGAGGGGCCAGGACTCGTTGGCCGCGTGCTTGGCGTCTATGTACAGAGTGGGCGTGGAGTAGAAGGCGTTCACTCGTCCATCCTGCGAAATTCGAAGCGCCTAAGTTTTTAGCACTATAAGTTGTATGAAATCGATTCCCTCCACTACACGTTGATTAGTACGGCTTTCCCTTCATCATTCAATGATTGCCATGTCCACGCCGTATATCAAAGCAGTTGGCAAACCTGTGCGGAAAGTGAAATAGAGACGACAGAAATCCTGCGCACAGATCAGTAGAGCTAGTGGTCAAACGAGCTCGCAACCCAATGCGCTTTCCACAACTATCCGGTCTTCTTTTTTGACGCAGCGAGACGGAATGGACAGGGGAAGATGAAGCGGTCGAGAATCATCCTCCTTGCTTCTTCTCCGCAGCGGCAGGCTGGAACTTTTGGGCGTCTCACAGTCGCTCCAAGCATCACCAAACACAAAGAACAGACTCGATGGTCTCAGCGAAACTAGCTTGACAGCACAATAGCAACATTCGTTTGAACCAACGGGCGTGTGAAGTAAGATAGGCGCCTGGAGGACCGTTGGGGTTAGGGTGGTAACGAGGGTGGGTTTGGATGCGACGCACCTGATTAGTCTTTGGTTAAGGGGACTAAGATGAAAGTACCCTGTTGTCATGGAATCTCTTTCGTTTTGTGTAAACAAGTTTAGAAAAGCAGCTACCTAAGGAGGAAAGGGCTATCAAAGTGACTCAGTTGTCATTTACACCCATTGGTTGGATCGTAAGAATCATGCTGCCAGTAGCTTTACGGTTAAGATAACCTACTTGGTTAAGGTGGTGAACCAGCTTGTCCACGTTTTGGAACCACGCGTCAGCATTCACGTGCGAAAAGTCGGCACCCATCGTCAGCATGATGTGGTTGGTCCGGAACTGCGCCGCTTGCTTCAGGTTGTCCGCGATCAAAGTCTCCAAGCGTTCCTTCAGATTGTAGCTCTCTAAACAGGGGTCGTCTTGCAGGAAGGGAAAAAATGACGTCATCGATCGTCTAGGATTAAGACTTGTTGTGGTTCGTCCGGAAGTTCGCCGCTTGCTTGAGGTTGTCCGCGATTGAAGTCTCCGAGCGTTCCTCAAGGTTATAGCTTTCAAACAGAGGTGGTGCTGCGGGGAGGGCAAAAATGACGTCATGCTATCGTCTAGAATTCAAGACTTGTTGTGGTTGGTTCGACTTGCGCGGCTTGCGAGGAACGAAAAGCACTTCGAGATCTACCAGAATCACTGTTCTTGAGCGGTCAAGCTTTCAAAATGGCTCAACTGTCATACGGCCAGATAACCACAAGACAAGCCCAAAGCACAAGCTGATTGAAAGCACAAAGAATTGAGCGTGCATGAGGGATATGTCTTTGCATTTTGGGGGCAGTAAGCTTCAGGAATAGAAAGCTCCTACCCCAACACTCGAATTCTGCATAAACCCTCAAGATTCAACTCCTCCGCACCTGTACCAACTTCAACTTTCAAACGTATTCGCCTCAGGCTGGTTAGCGTGATCCACCTCAAAAAACCACAACTAACTCGGAATCCGAAGTGAGGGGTCACCTGGATGGAGGGAGTCCTGGCAACGTCTTCAAAGTCGAAGGTTGGGGGCGGCATATAGTGGGCGTGCAGTATGCCGGCAAACGTCTGTAGATAAAATAGGTTAGTGTGCAGGTTAGTGCCCGAACCCGGGTTGATGTGCAGCCTGCTAATGTTCTGCTGATATTCGTTTACTCCTCGGACGAAATATACAGCCATCGTCAAAAACTCGCCAGATTGCGAACCCTTTAAACAGGATCTTCATACAGACCTTATCCACGCAATCAAGGACAATCGCAAGAGCCCAATCTTTTAGAAACCGTTTACGAGCGCAGTATGGGGTGGACGATCGGCCGGTTCAGAAACGTTTGGGAAAATCTCAATGCTTCTTTGACACCACAATCAGCTCCATCTCGGCACTCCAATTCTCAGAGAGCTGCCGATGGAGACGGATTGGGCACGTCAAGCAACGTGTCCTGCATGTTTCTGGACCGTAGGATAAGGAGAACGCAACAATCGAACGGTCCAAACACCAAACTTGCCTCACCTCCGCGGTTTTTCCTAGGGACTTAGAAGCGCGCCAGACCATTTCCATGCTCTTATTCGCCCGCCGTTCGTAAATGTCTTGGTAGTCAGCCCTGGCAAAGAAGAGGCCATCAAAGCCCATCTGCGAAAGCCCGAAAAATAATCAACACGGTTCCCCAAGCGCTAATTGGTCATTGTCGATGTTGCTTTCTATCTTGAATCATTCAAGAAGCTGTACCGAAAGGTCTTGATAGTCAGCCCTCGCAAAGAAGGGGCCATCAAAGCCCATCTGCCGAAAGCCGAAGAAATGGACCTCAGAACGAGTCACTACATGCTTGCTTTTTCTGTTTCTGACTTCATCCTTCTTAACGCAGAACACAAAATGGCCAACGGACTGACTTGTATCAGTCGCACAGCTTCCGAACCGCTATGCTAATTTCGCCAAAACGAGGTTCGACTAACCAAGGCAAGCTGCTCAAACCATAAGCTCCTCAGAGACCCTGAAAAAGCTTCTAGCTCCTTACAAAACCCCGTCCGGCTTGGGCTTGGACGGCAGACTGCTGAACGGAGGAATCCTTAGCCAGACTCTCCAAGACTTATCAAAGTGCTCCTTCATCTGCTGGTGAGAATGGGGCCCCTCACCAAACACTCTGAAGCCCGAAGCATCCAAATCTTGATCCGAGAACGAGCAGCTACCTGAAAGCTCCTCCCCCAGAAATCCGGGACTTTCAAAGTAATGCATTTGTTGCGACTCTTGCTGCTACAGGAATGGTACAAAGAAATTCTCGGCTAAGCCGGCACACATCCCAAACAAAAAAGGAGGTTTTTGGCGCAGCCCAGCCGCTCCCGACGCCTGAGACTCGTCACCGACGTCGAGTTTCCTTACCTCCGCAGTCATAAGCGATGCCTGAACGGATGAGTGACCAAACGGGTCGATTTGCCAGCCGACTCGGGGGTACTTCTCAAACTGCTCTCTGATGTAGCGGTGACCCAGGGCGGTCTGATCAATCATGTCGACGAAGTGAGTGGTCGCCTCGTCGTGCATGCACCAGCCGCCGTTGCTGCGAAGAAATGGTAAGGGTTTCAGTGGTTCAAAACCTCTTAACAAATAAAAAAAAAAGGAAAAGATATATGGTGAAAGATATATGGTGACCGAGGGCGGTCTGAAGGGCGGTCATGTCGACGAAGTGAGTGGTCGCCTCGTCGTGCATGCACCAGCCGCCGTTGCTGCAAAAAAAGGATAAGGATTTCAGTGCTTCAACCTCTTAGGAAGAGGAAAAGAGGGAAAAGAAAAGGAAAAGATATATGATTTGATCAATATTATCGACAAAGTGAGTGGTCGCCCCGTCGTGCATGCACCAGCCGCCGTTGCTGCGAAGAATCGGTAAGGGTTTCAGTGGTTCAACCTCTTAGAAAGAGGAAACGAGGGATAAGGAAAGGAAAAGATATATGGTGACCCAGGGCGGTCTATTTGATCATGTCGACAAAGTGAGTGGTCGCCTCGTCGTGCATGTACCAGCCGCCGTTGCTGCAAAAGAAGTCGTGAGTTTTTGAGTGGGTTTCCATCGTTGGATTCTTTCGAAACAGAAGAAACGGGAAGAATGAAATTGATGAAATGAGTTCATGAGGGTTTCAGTTTTCGATGCTAGCTATCATGATTTAGAACGGAAGAAAGAAGGAGAAAAAGACAGTAATCTATGGCGAGGTGCAAGTTTCCGAAGAGACGGAAGAGGAGGGAAGGAGAGGAAGCAACAATGGGGAGGAGAGACGTTCGAACCGGAGGAAACTTCGATGAAACCAGCCGCCGTTGCTGCGAACAATGGATGAGGGCTTCAATGGTCTTCATTGTTGAGAAAACATAAGGTGGAGGAGAGAAAGAATCGCATGTCACGAGGGCAGGTTCGTATCGGCCGAACACAAAGCTTGACTTCGTACTCGCATTCTCGGTGCACCTGCAAGTTGACAAACGGCTAGCTCCTGCTAGCGGCAGAGGTCAGTGGTTTGAAAACCGAAAAGGCAACACTATTAAAAGCTAGGATCGTGCCTTGGAAACCCCATTTGAGTCTGAAGTTCAAAGCCTCAGCGGCCCTGAGGTTTTTGACCGTCACAGGTGAAGCCTCAGCTCCTCAAAGCCTTATAATGGGTAAAAGTGAAGTTAAGCATCCGAACTTAGTCAAACAGCGCCCAAGCCCATACCTCCTCGACACCCAAGTCGGTCAAAGCCTGAAACATTTCGGAACTAAAGCCCGGAACATTTTGGAACTAAGCCTGAAAACTGAAGGGCCTCACACAAACTCCAGCTGGCCGTCGTCCACCAGCCTCCGCACGAGCGCGCGCGTTCGCTGGGTCTGGCGTCGCCACCACATTTGGAAGAAGGCCTGCAACAGCATAAGTAGCCAGGAATTGGTGTCAATCACAAGATGAGTGGTATTATTCACGCTTCACGAAACTTCAAGAGATGAAAGGATCGAACTGCCAGACATGCACACACCGTAGAATGCAAGCAATTGTTGTGTCAACACTATCCAAAAGTCGTGCGCTTGACGGCCAAGACTTCAACACTTGCACCTTTCTATACTTCGTAGTACATGTGAGCTGAGTGGTATTATAGGTGACAGAGGAGGCTGATTCGTTACCACATGAGACTCAACTCCCAATGTGCTCTGCTCCTCCCTTCTAACCAGATCTTCCCAATCTTTTTCCTTTTTTATCTTTTCCTCTTTTGTTGAATTTCCTCGGAGGGGAGAGATTTTCCCAATCTGCACCCCTCGTCTTACACAGTCTGACAAAACTTTCTTTGCGTTACCTTGAAAAAAAAGCGCAGGATCTTCGTGCCGACTGCCTTTCAACAAAAGGTTCTGAAAGGTCTTCCGTGCATTCAAATAGCATATCGAAAATGAGAAGCGCACCTGTTCCACTTGGATAAACTTGCGGTCTGGATTGAACGCCAGGCTTTGGACCACTGTGTCTAAAGTCCAGTCCACATGTCCCACCTGCACGAGAGAACAGAATTCAAAACCTGTGAAGCGGTTGGTTTTGCATGCTTGAGAATTTGGATCTCCAGAGAAGATACCGTCCTTTTCCTTTAACAATGTTGGGTTATGCCCTTCAAAAGGAAGCCCCAGGAAATGGTGGCAATAATTTGCACACAGAAGGAGAAGATGTGAAGAAGTTGAGGCATGCTGTTGCCACGTTTTGGCCCGAAGGCTACTCAGATGAGTCGTCAAAAAGTGCCAGTGAGAAAAATTCACGCAAGGGCATCCTAGCAAGGATTTGGACGCACAAAATTTTGAGATGCACGTTTGCAGCGTCCCCCGTTTACCACTAGACCGTCAACAAGCGCTTAACCCAGAATGGGTGTCCCCATAGCCCAGGGATAACAAAAGAGTGCATTGAAGCATTCCAAGCAGCGTGTTTGTGAATCATGATTGTTACGCTCGTGGCGCCTCCAAACACGAGAGGAAACTCTGTGGAGGTGACAGGTCAAAAGGGGTCAAGTGGCAGCATACCTTGCCAGCTGGCACACGCTCACAATGCTTGCAATCTGGATTATGTTGATCTACGACTAATGCTGTTGATTCAGCTCACTCTGCTTTCACATCCTTGGAATTGCACGTAATATGATGACTTCAAGTGGCAATGTGATTGACGATGGACTGATGATGCCGGTTGATTGATGTTGCCCCACTTTGATTCACATTGGACATTTATATTACACGTTAGGCGCCACCACATTTTGACGCGTCACACGGTGGCGGCCACCGCTCTATTCCTAACTTCGATCAGCTACGGTGCACAGTGAAAGTTTCCTGAACCCAAATTGGACGAGTATATGACAGAATAGCGCCACCACATTCTGAGACAAGTTACACGATGGCGGCCGCCACTCTACTTCTGACCACAATCAGCTACGGCGCACAGCGCCAGTTTCTTTATCCACGTGGGGCGATGATTGACTCAGCTGGCGCCACCACAGATCCAATGTATTACACGATGGTTGCCGACACTTTATTCTTGACCACTCAGCTACGGCGCATAGTAGTCGTGATGCTCCACCCTCTGTAATGAGCTTGCTTTGCTCAATGCTGCATACAGCTGAACAGAGGCAAAGAATAAAGAAGAAAAAGAGGGGAAAGGAGAGAGAAAAGGATATGCGAAGCTAAACTCACCCCACTTTGCTGGTCCATCCCTCTATTCGTGCCTAAGAAGTACTGGTCAACGGTCTTCAACCAGCCAACGTCGTCATGGCTGTGCATCACAAAATGCACATTCAGTTTGTCCTTTACAGGAGCTGAGCTCGTGTTGTACTCAATTGGGGGTGCTTTGCAAGTTTGGCCTACCGCTGTTGGGATAATGAAAAGCAACTGAAGCAATGTGGTGCATATCAGCACTTGCGCAAGCGGCGCCCCCGCCATTGGTTGCCTTTCTCAGGACCCCGCAGATTGGGTTTCATTTGACTGTTCGAGAGCAAACACTTCCTCTGCAGCTGAGCGATGCAGAAGCGCGGCCATTTTCCATTTGCCAGGGCTAAGCAGATAGCCTTAGGTACTCTGGAAGCTGAGAGGTGAAGCGGCACCTTTCCGCTACTCTCCTAGGTACCGTACCGGTATACCGAAATGTCCTAGCCGCTCAGAGCGCACTGCACCTACGTACTTCGAAGTTCGGTACATTCTTTGGCGAAGGCGGTCCGTTCTCACGTCGTCAAGATACGGTAACTTACCTACCGTATGTAGTGACGCCACTTTCCACAATGATCAGTATGATGATGATACTAAATGTACCACGTGGGACTCCGATATGATCTAGGTTGACGTGCTACAAGGCTCCAGCTGCAAACCATTACCACACGTCGGTAACGGATGATCCCAGGATGAGCTCGGAGTCTGTGCACGAAAATAGTTATGCAGCTTGAGTGTCATCAAAACTCTCTCACATTTTCTGCTTTGCTCTCAGCGCGTGAAGCTTTCTCGGTTTCTGCCGCCCCTTCCCTTTCATACATCAGCGACAAGAAGGTTCTACCGTAAATCCATCCTTCTGACGAGCCGTTTTGTTTGCGTTGGCCGCACCCCCGTGATAATCATCAATTCGCCATAACGAGGTGCTTTGCAAGATTCTTGTTGAAGGAAAACATCCCCGGTCATTCTTTTAGCAGGAGCTTGAGTGATACACACTACAGAGAAGGGAATTTGAGCGTGGAAGAATGACGGGCAAGGCAAAGCCCAAAAAGCACACTGCAAAAGAACTGGCGGCAAAGGCGGACGCAGCGCTGACGAATCGGGGGGGCGGTGTTGCTGGAAAGGTTGACAGGTGCGTCATGCAACGGGAATCCTGATGCTATATCCGGTCTGTCGTCTTGTCTTTCAAGTCTTTGAGATGCCCTGCCTTTGTTAGGCATTGCTCTGATAGGCAATGGATCTCAAGATCTCAAGCGCCATATGATTGTAACACAAGTTACACAGGTAGACCGGAACAGATTGAAAGGTGGTAATCAGAACTGGTGTCCCGCATTTTTGACTGGTTTTAGGGTTTCATGGTGTTCTTGGCCTGCCTCTTTTGGAGGCGTCAAGTTTCCTCAAAGTGGCACCGCAAATCCCATGGCATTCAGGTCCTAATCTGCAGAGCTATTGCTAATTGCTGGTTTGAGGGGCCGGCTGAACTTTGTGAGATTCGTCTCTGTTTGCTCTGGCGTTGCATAGCAGATTTGGCCACCGACCAACGATGGTGTTTGACACTATGCCACTCTCTCTTTTTGGTCAGTGTGCAGGGATGCTCTTTCTGACTCCGGTTGGTTCCCGTGTGCTTTACGCCTATGACAAAGTTGCACTGCTTTGGCCGGCTGGGTTTTGGCGACCTGTTCCGCTGTTTTGAAGCCTGACTTCTGTGTAATTGGTGCAGCAGTCCTGGTTTATGTTAACCTGCATCTAGCAACTGAAGTTTCCAATCTCCGAGTATCTCCATAAGTATGTGTTTGCCAATGTTGGCCTCTGCTCGTTACCAGAGTCTCATTACCTGCTTATGGTGGTTGGGGCCATTCATCAAGTACCGCTCTGTTCACCCTTCTTTTGTTGAATCAGCTGAAAGTGGTTCTAGTCCGGCAGCAGCTTGTTCACCAGTTTGATTCTGCTTTGAAACTTCAAAGCGTGAATACTGGTTGCTCTAAATGACTCTTTGTTGTTTGGATGGTGGTCAGAGGTTTCCCCTCTGTTCTAAAATTTTGACAGAGCTTCAGCAGTGAAGAAAGTTTTGTAAGAGAGAAATACGACCAATCAGGGTGGCTAGAGCTCTATGCTGATCATAAAAGAAGAATCCGTATCGATTTAGAAGCCTTGCGTCACCTGTTTTGGAGCTTAAAGAGTGCAATCTTTTGGTGCCTCCAACCAAAGAAGCAGTTGCAACTTCAAAGACGCTCCTTGAAAGGGACCTCCTCCCATCCCCTCTGGTTCGGAAACATTTCTTTGAGAGTTCAGTCATTGTGGCATCGTTGACGCCCTGAGCTCTGATGCTTGAAGCAACTTTCTGAATCAGTCGCCCTGGCATACAGTACCTACGTCCAAGAAATGAAGTTATGTACCTTGAAGAGTCTGTCAGTCTCTGTGTGTGCCAGTGTTGAAGGATGTCAACGCTGAATGCTGCGGCCTTTTCCACAGAATTCCGAAATTGAGTCTCTCCCATCAAGCTTAAGGACTGTCGAGGCTTTTGATACACTCACTAAGGGTGCAGCTGCCTCTGATCCAATAGTTGGCTTCCTTGGGGCTACGTTTATAATCCTACCGTGGGGGTGTTCGCAGCATTGGCAAGGCCATCACAAATTTGTTAGTCATCAAACTCAGTCGCGTAGTGAATAAGCTTCCAGGTTCCGAGATGGTCTACGTTGCTTTCGGTTGAACATCCTCCACCCCAGATTGCGGGACCTGTCGACATGCTTTACTTAACCTGGGTCAGGCGTGACCCCATTCGTTTTTCGTCCGGTTAACACAGGAAGTCTGCTGTTCTTTGGTTGTGTAGCTTGGGGCTTGACTACACTGGCTAGTCAAGTTAAGCCAACAAGTCCGCATGCCAGATTCGATTGACTCTAAGGCTCTGGAGTGTTCATTGAATTCTGGCTTGTCTCTGCAGGTTAGGACTTGACAAAGGCGGCCACGCAAAGTATGCATGCCAGATCTGCAAGCCACCATCATATTGAATTGTTAGATGGTGTAATCATTCTCTCCGTTTGTCGTTGCAGGTTAGGACTTGATAAAGGCGGCCTTGCAAATTACGCTTTCCACACCTCCAAAGTGTCCGTCCTTTTTTGGCCTTTGCAGGGCAGGGTTGACAAAAGCGTTCGTGAACGCATCGGCAAAGACACTATTGTCCAGGTTTCTGGAGCGTCCAATTCTAACTTTTTCGGTTTCTATTTGCAGGTTAGGGCTTGACAAAGGCGGCCACGCAAAGTACGCATGCCAGATCTGCAAAGCCACTGCGCCGGACACCAAAAGTATGCAGATCCATTGGGAAGCCAAGCATCCAAAGCTACCATGGGACCCCGAAAAGGTGAGGCTTTCGAAGAAAGTTTGGTTTTTTTTGTCCAGCGTCTCCATCCCTAATAAGCTGGGTTAAGGCACAGTTAGAATCCGAGTCAAGTCGGCTTGGCGCCTCGTATTTCCAAACGATGGTCACTTGCTGTTCTGACGGCCCTCAGCCAAGCAAGGCTGATTTTTTTTATTCGATGATTGCTAGTCTAGCCGTTTAGGCAAAGAGCGACTCGGGTCCCAGAGGTTGGTTATCATTGGTGACCGAAGGTTATGGGATGATTTGCGAAACTGTTGGGAAGCTTTGGATATTTTATTGTCGTAATCTGTGCGAGTTCTGGTGGTTGCAGATGTAGACAACGTAGTTCTGCAATCTCTCGTTATCTAGAATCTGTCGTTTTGTTAGTATAGTGTTGATAGCATAGTCGTTTGCAGACACCCTCCGGAAGAAAGGTTCTTATGTCCTACTGACTTCGAAACTAAAAGTCAGATTTTCGAAACAAGTCTCTTATTCGGGGCTTCCCAGTCCGACTACTCCCTGGGCACGTTAAAGAGCAGGCCTTCCTTGCCGTCGATTCACTTCTGCTCTTTCGTAGTTGTCAAAAAAAGAACAAACTGTACCGAAACGAGAAAGCCAAGAAAAGGAGAAAGCTTCGTTGCGTTCTGGCTTCCGTCTTTATGCAGGTGCATTAAACAGAACAGGATTACTTTTGGAGGAGTTTGAGGGCCAATAAGTGGACAGCGCATCTCCAGCGATTTACCCGCTCTCCCTTCGAACCTTTCAAATTGATGCCTGGTGCGCGTAAGTGGTCGAGACTCGTATTGGCTTTCAATCACGCAGATCATCGACCAACACGCTGCCATAGACGCCGCCAACAAAGCGAAACCGGGTATACGAGGAAGTATCAAGAAGTAGGTCACGTGGCGTGCCAGACGGCGAGCCAATCTGCAAAGCAATGTGAGTGATGTGCAAACCAGCGGGCGGAGAGATCTGCCTCAAGCTTGCAACGGCAAGCAGCATCCTCGTCTCTCGTCAACTGCAGCGTATCTTCTGCAGCCTGCGGCATCGGCTCAAGATTACCAAGCTCAAAGGGGCCGTCTTGCTCAGCTCAGGCCTGGCGTTTCTAACATTCAACCTGATCAGACGGTTTCGTTTTCGTACCGCGGAAAGCGAGAGTTCCGAAAAATAAGTCGAAGCCTTCAGAGTCGCATACGCTGCTCCAGATAAGATGCTGCACGGCGATTTCAGGAACCCAATTGGAACCTGTTTTCTCATGTTTATCGAACCAGATCCTTAACCAGGTTTTTCTCCAAATAGACGTCCTTGGACAGTAACAATTCCTCAAAAACGATCTTAGGAAGCGGCCGTTTGTTGCGAGTCGGTTTTTGCTAGCCTTGAGCCGGGACAGCATTTCCCCGATAACCTCAATTTCAAGGGCTTGTTCACACCGCTGGTGAAACGCGAAAGATAACATCATGCTTCCTTCCAATCTAGACCAATGCTCGATCTTTCGAGAAGCTGTTCAGCTTGTCTCGAAGCGAGAAGTGATTTCTGTAGAGATTGACGTATTTGAGCAGCAAGTTGGTCGCAGACTGACGCGTTCGCTGGAACAATTGCGCGTGGCGCTTTTCTCTGGTGTTCTTTGGGAGTTTCCTCGAGAATCTGAAAATATTCATGAACGGAGCCGCTTCTGACCACTCGTGACTGCTCCTCTTCTTTTCTGTCTTTGAAGAGAAGGAGCGCCCAGTGTTGAGTTCTCTGTTGCTCGTTTATTTCCCCTTTCTTCCTCCCTGTCTGCATCGCTCCTTCTCACTGCCGGTAGTCAAACTCAATACGTAGCAGCGAAGAAGGCCCGTTCGTGGGTCAGAATACAGAACACTGGCCGCGATTATTGGAGCTGCCAATCTGAAGCCAAGTATGTTCTTCGGTTTGCAGGAAATAGCGGTTGTGGTCTCGGAAGCGTTTGGGGAATAGAGGGCTTTACAGGGAGTGCCCTAAGGGGATTGACTTCCAGCGTTACTTCAAAGCTTGCGCAGGGTTCGTTTTTTAGCATGTCCAAGTAGTGTGTCAAGGGAGATTCGACCAAGTTCGAGTTTACGTGCGAGCTCAGAATCTACGAACGTTCCTTGCACACGGGTTCTTAACAAGACTCAGTATCTGGAAATTGTCTTGGCTTAAATCAGTGCCTACCCTCTTAGCTTTGGATCACGGCGAATCAAGACGATTTGTAGATACTTCAAATTCCAGATATCATGCCCTAAGCCAGCGAGAACGAGAAGTATGTAGCTAGAGGATATCAAGGTAACAGTCTGTGTGCCAACGGTTGTTGTTGATGATTGATGGTTTCGATAATCGAGTTGGATAGTGACACAGCGGTCGGTCATTGTCAAGGTGGGCGGCAACGGCTGGCGAGACGGTGGTACCCATGGCGGCCACGGCGGTCAAGCTCGTATCGTGCTTAAGCTGGCCATCTAGTGAAATGAATTGGGTTCAAGTTACCGTATATCATATGGCCTGAATTTGCCAAGACTTGGGGACAACTTGGGCTATGCTAGTATGGAAGCTAAGCTTTCTTTTCAGGATCTCTAGCGCACTGCATGGATCGGATGCGTCGAAGACTCACATCGCACGGTTGCTTGGACAGATTCAATGCAGTGGCTCGTGCTTTTGAGTAGCTCTGTAATAGCTAGGAAGATCGAGATGCACGGGCTGCGCTGCCATCCTAAGTTGGTAGACCTATTTTCGTGCACAAGGATTCCGAAAAGAGGCCGGGCCGGCCGCGGCTGCTTTCGAAGTTCTTGTGCGTGCTCACTGTCATGCTTGAAGCGAGTATGCCGGAGTCTTATGTTCGACATACTCGCTGTAAGGTGCGACGATCGGCCTGAAGTTCCGACAACGCCGTCGTGCAGTTTTGCCGCTTGGCCGTCCGGTCGTGGCCCATGTTTCGTTGTCGCTTTGGCTTTCGATATGCTTGCCCTCTCAGTCATTGAATCTGTTGCTACTAAGTTTCTCTTTATATGTGGTGAGTTCAACCGAGTCACTGGGCCGTCGCGGTTAGCTTGGAATCGGATCGACACTGACACAACCTTAATTACAGTCGCCGTCGATCGAGGCCATTCCGAAGTTCGTCATACTAATTGAACTAACTTACTGGAAGATCGAAGGCGTGCCAGTGGGTCGCCCGCGGAAGACTCGGTCACACTGGACAAAATGAATGATCCGATCCAACTCAGACTCTGAGACTTGCTTAGCCTGATCTGGCCCGCAATTATATCCAATCATGCATTCGATCGGCCGGAGACGGGATCGGCGACCAAGAACTTATTGCTTGTGCCCAAATGATGGGTTGATTCAATGCTTGGCAAAGCCGTCGCACACGTTGATATCAAAGTAGTATTTCAAGAAAATAAACGTTCAATGTCGGGGGGCGGGAGGTGGGGGGGATGCATGCCTTAACGAGAGTGATCACTGTCACTCTCGCCGTCGATGGGCTAGGAATGCGGATTTCAGGCGAGCCTAGTCTGAAGCCTGATCGAACATGATTAAGGGGTCTTCTGTGGTGGCGAAGACCCCTTCATCATGGCCAGTGATGGTGGTCCCGAAGCTGATTCGGTCGTCGGATTGGAGGGCGCTGCTGTCTCAACCTTGATATAAATGTTTTAGGAAATTTTACATTTCGATTTTTGCGCGAGCACTGGGAAGATGGACAGAAAATGTTGCTGATGATTGACTGCGAGGTCAAAGTGGTCGACAAGGAGTGGCTAAAGAAGGACTATTCACACTTGACTAAGTAAACCTGTCCAGCTCAAACTTAGCTGGCTTTCCAAGAAAGAGTGCAGAGAGCGTAATTTGGCCGCGGCCCGGGACAAGCACGGTGTAAGTATACGGGGGGTGAGGGTGTATTCACATTTAGGCGCCAGCCGCCCTCAAATCAGGGTGCGATGTCCCGGTCGTGCTGGCACTTTGAGGTGCTGGCAGCAACATAAGGGACCTCGAAGGCGGCTGGCCAGGGGTGACTGAGCTAAGAACCCTACTAACCTTCTATACTCCGATTCAGCGCGCTGAGACAAGTCAATTTCAGTGTGTTGCTCGCCGGCACCCCGTATACCGCCAAAGATCCATGCAGAGCTTATAAATTTGCCACGGTGCCACCTCAAATTTCATGAGCTTTGTGAAAGTCCGAGTTGTATAGAGCTGGAACATTGTTGGTTCTACTTAATTACGTGGGTCCGTGACCCAATGAGTTGGTAACCTGGTTGAAGTTAGGTGAACTTGCTGATCCGCAGACGAACACGAGCCGCTGCTGGGAGTTCCAGTTCTGAAATATTCACGTTCACCTGACTCCTTGCAGCAGAATTTCGCGTTAGTAGAAGCAGGTTAGCGGCTGCAAAAAGCATTCCTCTGCATTCGATGTGAGCATGTCAGTCGGGAGTTCCATTTCTGAAGCTGAAAACCAAGTCTTGTAGAAGCCCCTTTGCAGGCAAAGAGAGTTCTGAAAAGGTGCTTTTATAATGGCGCCAATTAAGAATAGAGTCACTCGAGTTTGAGCCTGCCAAATGCAGTCAATCTGTTCTCGCGTTATGCATCTCGCATCTGCACCCTTCAGCCAATAGTAATCACGTCTGCAACGTAGAAACTTTCAACCAGGACTTGGCCATAGGAGGTTCTGGTGTATGCACCACGTTGAAGGTCTTCGTGTACCTTACTTAACCATCATGCGCCTCGTGAACCAATCTCTGATTCCTGTACAGCAACTTACGTAGCCTTAACCATGATAGCTGCCTACATACGTCGCCGGCAATAGTGTATTGACAGACAGAGCGCCGCACTTCAAAAACCCACTTGACGAGAGGTCGTATCTTTTGCTTTGGGCGTCAAGGAGAAGCTTCGAAGTGGGATGAATTTAAAATTTTGAGGTTGTGTTGCTAATCTCGAGCCGCGAGTCCATTGCATACCACGGCCTGTCAACTACTAAGGGGAAAGGCTCTCCTCGCATTCGCACCTCACACCGATATGTCTTTGTCCTTGTTGTCGACTTCTGGTCGGGGGGTAGTAGGTCAAACTTCGCGTGCCGTTTGTTCTGACCTCATCTGGCAATGAATATTTCTGCGCGAGTACTACTTGTGGCGGTCATTTCACCAGAACGGCGCCATAGCTGATTGCTCGAGCCACGAAAACGAAAGCTTGAAACCGAAATAATTCAAAGGACCTAACTAAATTCGAACGCCGTTAATCCTCGTCAATAGCCTTCAGGGTGTGCAATGCCCTCTGGTTAAGGGAAGACATCCAGACGCGCAGATAGATTTGTCACGCCCGGAATCTTTTATGAAAACTTTACGCGTCTTCTTTTGAAAAAGTTATTGCCGTAGAACAGGCAGTCGTACCCTCAGACGTTCGTTAGCTCTCCGCACGTCTTTCTCCGGTACGTTTCCTTTCTTGGCAGCTGACTTTTCCATTCAAAGCAAGCTTCCGGCAACGAGGACACGTGCACCTGGCTCACGTTGCAAGCGTCACGCATCAAAGAAGTTCCAAGTCGCTTTGCTTTTCTCACCTTCGCCATCTACGTAACCTATTCCCCTTCTTTGCTTTTAATTTGTTCCAAATGAAGGGAGTTGACTGATTTACACATCCACCCGCGGACAGATTGGCGTCAACGGGTTCACACCTATGCCCGTGCCGAAGTGCTGTAAAATTATCCGCTGACAAGTCAACGGATTGTGACCGACAGGACACCAATCTGCTCTTGAAGCGTTTTCGTCGCCTAGGAAGCTCGTGTCCATTTGGCGTCAAAAAGGCTTCTAAGCCATAATTGGTGCCTTTGGGGCTTTCACAGACGTTATGCTGGCCGCCTATCTGGTGCGAACCAGTGAGGCGTCATTCTGTCGGCGATGTGTTTCGTGATGAGGTCCGCTTCCTGCCCACGAAAAGGGGGGTTTTCAATGATATCTTGTTTTGCATCTTTGCAAGGTTAACGTTCTCAGAAAGTCCAAAAAGCGAAGCCTGGCAATGAGGATTCTAAAGTCCTATCGGCCCGCAACGCTGAGTGGCTGTTAGAGATGAAATTTGAGCCGCCGACTAGAGAGTGAGAGAGCAACCCCCTGGTCCACAGAACCCGGAGACTGACGTTAGGATTTGACGGATGAGCTACATACGAATCATCCTCACAGAGCCAGCGCGACAGAAGGCCAAACAAATCAACGCCGCGTTGAGTATTTGACTCCGCTTCCAGCCTTTGATCAAGTCTGATGGGCTTCACCAGCACAGCGAGCTTGGAATTTTGCAAACTCCTTTGACCGCAGAAGGAGTTAAGTCAAAGTTACCCCCAAGTTGATAGGCTTTCTAGATAGACGATCATGAATTTCTAGGAGAATAAAGTCTTCCTGGCTTCAGTGTTTCGTTTTACGGCGCGTACACAGCTAGACGTGTATGCACGAAGTGATCTGGGGACTGTACTGCAAGCCGCGCCCGTCTGCTTTGTTGCTATTTGTTCGGTTCTCGTCCGCGAGCGAGACAGGATGTCAGTGACCGGTGCTGACGTTTCTCGGCCTGGTAAAACGCAATCTTTGAATTTCAACACTTTGTACAAGCCACCAGTTTATGATAATCCGTTCAAAGAAACGGACCGATGCTGGTTCGCAGCAGCAGATTGCTCGCGCACAAGGTGAGCGGCGAGCGGCCGGCCGCGGGCCTGCGTTTTGAAAATACGCGAAGAGGCGCAACCACAGGGTTTCCTAATCTAAGTCTGACAATTACGTTATCAGCTGGTCGGTTCTTTGCTGGCCATGAATGTGCCGTTTGATGGTTAACTATTGATCTGCAGACGCCAGATGTCACTTGGTTACATCGGTTAAGCGTCACGGTTTCTTCAGAACTTACTCAACCTGTCGTGCGACTCGAGAATCATCCATTTATGCTTTCTGATCAGCAGCTTGTGTAGCCTTAATCATGACGGAAACCTGACTGCTTTTTTAATACGTGCGGATATACTGGATATGTATGGGCAGCAAAGAGCGGCGCAGTTATTCTTGAGAGCCACCTGACTGAACTCTTGTCTCGGCGGCAAGGATGAGCTTCGATGTGGTGCGACTGCCAAGTAGCCACGTGATTGTAATTCCTGCAGTCTCGAGCCGCAAGATTGTTGCATGCCACGGCCTGTTGACACTTTATTATAAGTGCGGACAACCATTCATACATCAATCTGGATGACCTTCCTTAATTTTGAAAGATCTTTGCACTTTGAGGCTCGTTAATGCTCTTTCGTGAGAGCACTTTGGCTTCGAAGTAGGGACACACAGTCCCTGGGTTCCGGGGCCCCGTCTCTAGATACATAAGATTTCGTTCACCTGAGAGTTGCCCGACTCCTTATCTGGCTGCGAGCGCTTTCCAAATGGCCGACACGTGTCGCTTTGCTGCGAGGCGGCTCCGAGCGACTTTTCATTTCTCCCTGTCTGAGCGCCGGCCGATTGATCCGCAACCGGCCAATTCCGAGAAGCAATTGATCAGAGCGCTCGCGAGCGCTGTGTACTTGACCCCTTGCACCGGTATAGCGGCCACGCTTCCACGAGATCGACCGCCAATTTCATGCCTAGAGTGGCGGCAAGCCTCGGAAGCGCGGAGCGGCCGCGAGCGCCAAGCCGCGCTCCCTCTGCGCGCGCGGAGCCCGGCCGCGAGCTTTAAGGGTGGGGCGGCCGCGAGC